GAACCCGTGTCCCCTGCATTCGGCAGGCGGACTCTCAACTACTGCGCCACCAGGGAAGCCCCACTCCATCCATTTTAGAGGAACTTTTCTGTCTTTTGTCCTAAAGTTCATCCTCAGTTTTTGTAATTTTTTCTTCTTGGTCTTGGGACAGTCAAGACTTTCCTTGACTGAAGAGAAAATAATTAACAGATTTGAATTGGCCACTTACTCTGCACAAGGCACTGTATGAGGAGCTGTGTGGTATAAGAAATGATTCAGGCCCTCAAGCTTACAGTCTACTTGAAGGAGCAACACCTGGGAAAAAAAGACTACTAATAGTACAAGGTAGTAATTAGTCTGTGGTGTTGCCAAATGAGTAGCAGAGGTGGTGTGTGCTAATTTTTGGAGTAAGGCATAACTAGAGTTACTGAGGGCATATTGGGAGGCTTCACAGAGTAGGTAAAACAGGTTTGGTCTTGAAGGATGGGTAGGAATTTGGTGATTTCCTGGAGCATGCTCGTACTGGCTGGTGAGAGCCAGTCGTGTGCATTTCTTCTCATCTCTGCATTCAGTGACATTACCTTGGTAGCTTGAAATCAGCCTTGCTGGGAGTTTTTATACCACAGAAATCAGCAAGGGCCGCAAATCAGTTTCATACCCCCCCACCCAAAAGCCTGTTGTTAAGCATTTACCAGCACACCACTGGGTTGGGTTCAGATTCTTGAATAAGAATGGGGAGGTACTTTTAGTCAAGGATTGGGGTAATGAGAGTGAAAGTATAAGCGGGAAATGTTAAATCATGCTTCTGATGAGCAGACTAGTCTGACTGAGGTAGAGTGTCCTTATGGTAGAATTCTGGGAAACGGGGTTAGAGAAGGAGTTTGGGGAGTGTGGAGGCCTTATGAATTTAACACTATAAACAAAGAAGAATAATTGAAAATTTGTTTATGGGATTTTTTTTAGCAAGATGTGACATTGTTTTGAGTTATTTCCAATTGTAGGATATTCTTGCCCATACTTATGTGACTATAAGAGATAACATCTTTTCTAATGTAGGTATTCAGTTCTTTTTTCAAATGCCTGGCGGAGATCTGTCTTGTTGTGAGTCACAACTCAGGTGCATATGCAACTATAACATGTTTGTTTTCTTTTATTTATTTAAACTCTGGCATTTTCCAAAAAGGATTTGAAACAGCCAAGTTGAGTGGGGGCTGTGGAGTTAGACTGCCTGGTTCAGATCCCTGCTCTTCCACTTACCTATTTCAGTAGCACAGAAAATCTTTCTTCCCTGTATCTCAGTTTTCTATCTGTAAAGTAGGGGTTCTTTTAAAAAATAATTAATTTATTATTTATTTATTTTGGCTGCTCTGGGTCTTAGTTGTGGCGTGCAGGATCTAGTTCCCTGACCATGGATCGAACCCAGGCCCCCTGCATTGGGAGCACGGGGTCCTGCCCACTGGACCACCAGGGAAGTCCCTGTAAAGCAGGTTTATTACTACGTTTATCATAGGGTTGTGTTGAGGATGAAATGAGGTAATGCCTGGCACATTGTAACCTCTGAATGACTTTTAGCTGTTATCATCATTACTATTATTATTTCTAATGTTCGACATTAGTTCAGCGAGTTGGCTAATAATCAGTATAAACCAAAACGTAAGAAACGTCTTTCCATTCACTTTGTCTAGCTCTAAGGCAAGATCTTAGTTACCATTTTAACAAATAAGGTAAAGTCATGAAATTTAAGGTAAGTACATATCTCAAATGTGTTGGTTTACATTGGTCAAAATACCTCAACTGGTTGTTCTGAAACATTAGTCTACTGGATAAATGACCAGTAGAGAACATCGTAATATCTTGGGTAATTCTTAAATTATTGAACTTTAACATCTTGAATTGTAGAAATATTAAAAACAATGTGGGGGAGAAAAAGACTTGTTAGAGCCATTCATCATGCGGTTGGGGGTACACGTCTGTAGGCCAGCCTGTTATACTTGAGAGTCAGATGCCTATAGATAACAGTTGACATCTTGAGATAGATCATGTCATCAAGGAGAGGATATAGAATGACAAGAGTAAGGGTCCCCAGGCAGGGCCCTGGGAAGTACAGCTACTTAAGAGGCAAGCCCAAGAGGAGCCTACAGATGAGATCAAGAAGGGAGGTGGGGTTAGCAGCCAAAGAATGGAGCAGGTCAGTGGACAGAAAAGCATCAGCCACGGTAGTTGGATTTGTTATTAAGAAGTTGCTGGTGAGCTTCGCAAAGGCAGTTTGAACAGCATTTAGAATGGAGACAGCAAGAGTAGAAGGGAAGTAGAGAAATGCAGCAGTAGCTGGAGGGAATTTCTGGTTTTGTATTTTTTTCAGCATGAGTGAGATTTATGTACACAGTCTTCTCTATGGTCCGAGGGGAAGAAGAAACCTATAGAGAGTTGAGACGGGGAGTAATTGGTTAAATAAAGTCCCCCAGGAGTTTGAAAGAGAACACATTAAGGCCATGATGGCCTTCAGAAGGAGGAACTCTTTCAGTTCACTTGTCAGGCACATGTCTGTTGTGTGCCAGGCACTATGAGTCGTCCCGGGGATACTCAGGGAACCAGAGGGACAAGGTCATGGCCCTTGTAGACTTCTGTTCTCAGGGAATGGAAACTGCTGAGAGAAGGTAAGGATGTATGTAGATGCAGCAAAGCCATGGTGCAGGGCTTGGGGGGTGAAGGAGGTCATGCCCAGTGACCTTGGTGCTGGCCTCCACAATGCAGCCCAACACTGTGCTGAGAATGAGAGTTAAACCTTTGTCTCCCATAGACAGGTTATTCTTAAAATAAAGATAATCCTGACTTATTCAGTCCCCTGCATTAGATGTTCACTTTTATAATTTCCTTCTTTAATTTTCAGTATAGCTATAAAATGAAAAAGCTTCATTAACTCCTAGCTTATAGTTGTCAAGCTCTCATCCGGTTTAAAATCAAGACCAATTAGTGGCTATTTCAAAACCAAATATATTTTTTAAAGCTGTGTGAGATGGGATAAGGTCAAGTTTCTGTAATAGAGATTAAAAAAAGAAAGAAAGAAAAAACCCCAGTACCTTAAAGAATACAGAAGTTTGGGCTTTGCTGGTGGCACAGTGGTTAAGAATCTGCCTGCGAATGCAAGGGACACGGGTTCGAGCCCTGGTCTGGGAAGATCCCACATGCCGCGGAGCAACTAAGCCCATGAGCTGCAACTACTGAGCCCGCATGCCTAGAGCCCGTGCTCTGCAACAAGAGAAGCCACCACAATGAGAAGCCTGCGCACCGCAACAAAGAGTAGCCCCCGCTCACCGCAGCTAGAGAAAGCCTGAGCGCAGCAACAAAGACCCAACGCAGCTAAAAATAAATAAATTTATTTTAAAAAAAAGAACTAATATTGTAACAAATTCAATAAAGATTAAAAAAAAAAAGAATACAGAAGTTTATTTATCTCATGCTTAACAGCCCTCTCACTGCTCATCACAGTTAGGTACGAGGTCCGTGCTGCTCCACAAAGTCGTTCCAGGGATACCAGTCCCTTTCAGCTTGCTGCTCCCCCAGCCCCCAGGGCATTGTGCTGTCCGCATGGTTCAGCGGAGTCACCACCCCCAGGTTTCAGAGAAATAGGGTGTGGCAAAGGTGTGCCCCATGTCTTAAGTCCCAGGCTTTAGAAATAGCTCTTATTCATCTGCTCACATCCATTGCTGAGAAGTAGTCATGTGGCCACACCTGACTTCACGGAGGGCTGGGGAGTGTTTTCTAGTTGGGCAGCCGTGTGTCTGGGAAGATGGGAAGAACAGAATTTAGTGGACATCTGCCAGTCTCCACCACAGGATAACCTGTATGTTTTCATTGTTGGTTCCTTTATTATATCTTCAAGACTAACAGTTAAATTCTTTTTTTCAGGCAGAGTTGGGTCTAAATGAGCACCATCAAAATGAAGTTATTAATTACATGCGTTTTGCTCGTTCAAAAAGAGGCTTGAGACTCAAAACTGTAGATTCCTGCTTCCAAGACCTCATGGAGAGCAGGTATCAGAGAATTCTAAGGAAACCCAGTGGGAAGGAACATGGATCCCTTCTGGTGGCCGGTATGGGGGTGCTGTAGCAGAGAGGCCTTACAAACCATTGCCAGGATATCATGATCAATTATTCATTGAGAGCAGCTACACTAAGCCTTATGGATATGTGATACTCAAGAAATCAGATTGTGGTGGGAGCAATCTGTTACTAAACATGCATATAATGATAATTGAGGGATTGCAAAGTTTCAGAAGGGCAGTCAGGAAATTGTGAAGTGCTTGTGGGTTAATGATTGGCTTGCTGTATTAAAGATTCCAGAACCTTAATTACTTGAGTTATTAATTAAAAGATTAGAGCCATAAGACATGGCAGTTAGCAAGAAAACACCTATGCAGTTTATATTGAAGAATTAGAAGAAGAGAAAACAGCAGGAAACCATGAAAAGCTTGCTGACTAGTACCAAAATTATTAGTTGATTTGTAGCAAGAGATGATAATTAGTTTAGTTGGACCAATAGTGGAAGATAATAAAAGTCCATAGAAAATTTAGTAATAGAGGATAATAGGGAAGCCAACCAAAAGGACTTAATAATAAAGAGACATCAGATTACTTGGGTATCAGATTTTGGCACACTTAAATGTCAAGACATAAATGAAAAAGGTCTCCAGGTGATCTGTTACTGTGATAAAGTCATTAACTTCACTCAGTAGCAGAGACCCTCAGCTGTAGACTGTTACCTGTTCGATCCATTATTCTAATCTGATAATCTGGCTTCCTAACCCACAGCAGAGGTAAGCAGCAATCTGATTGGTGAGTCTGTGAGACAGCCAGAGAAGGTACCCATTATTTACTTTATGCATTGGAGTACCTTAACTGCTGTTCGTAATAATGAACTTGGGTTGCTCAAAAAACAAACAAAACAAACATTTTTAAGCAGATTTGCTTTGTTCTATTAAAGAATATAGAAAGATTGTTAATATATTTAATAAGGACTTGCATCAAAAATAAAGTTTTAGTTTTTTAAGAGTGGTTAAATTCTGCTGGGTAAATGAAACGTTAAAGAATGGTAAATCAGATAAAAGTTTGGTGTAACTCCCTTCATTGTGTCCTTTTGGGATGATGGAGAAGATGACCTGAGGTCGGGGCTGTAGCTCTTCATCTGCTGAGCATCTGAGGGATAAAAAGACTTTGAGGCTGGAGGCAGGGAGCGGAGGAGACTGTGTTACTCTAAAACTCTCATTGATCGTAGGAAGCATGCGTGGAAGCTTTCTCAAGGATTCAGCTGTTGGGCATGTTCCTGAGATTGTTGGAAATGATTGTGGAGTTGGGACCATGGGCAAGTCACCGCCACCTTCTGAGCCTGTGTCCCATCTGTGAAGTGAGGGAATTGAAGAAAATGGCTCAAGAGTTCCCTTCCAACACAAACGTTCTCTGTGGAAGAGTCGATCTTCAGTCCTTTTGATGATGATGTTCGTTTTAATGGAGCTTTAATTAAGTTAGGGTTTTTTTCTTTTGGGTCTCAAGAATGCTAAGAGAAGCAATATATAATTACCATTGATTTTCTTATGGGCATTTACTAACGTGAATGGTCATTCAGTCATCGAAATGCTAGACAAATGATATAAAGAAAGGAGAAATTACACCTCTCAGGTGACTTATGAAATAATTAAATGTGATAAAACTAATTTTAGGGGAGATTAAAGTTTTTCACTGAAAAGCTAAAGAAAAAAGTAGATAGTTTGGGGAATGTTTCTGAGCATATACTTGTATTAAAAGATGTGCACATTTGAAGAGCGAACCACAGTTTAATCATTTAAATAGACATCAAAAATTAATTGAGCTTAAATTATTTTCAAACTGTTTTATTAATAAAGATAATTTCCAGAGGGACTTTCACTAAACCCTTTAAACCCTTAGATCAGGGGTCCCCAACCCCTGGGCCATGGACTGGTACCAGTCCGTGTCCTGTTAGGAACCGGGCCGGACAGCAGGAGGTGAGCGGCGGGCAGGCAGGCGAGCAAGCGAAGCTTCATCTGTATTTACAGCCGCTCCCCTTCGCTCGCGTTACTGCCTGAGCTCCGCCTCCTGTCAGATCAGCAGCGGCATTAGATTCTCATAGGGGCGCGAACCCTACTGTGAACTGTGCACGCGAGGGATCTAGGTTGTGCTTATGAGAATTTAATGCCTGATGATCTGAGGTGGAGCTGAGGCAGTGATGCTAGCGCTGGGGAGCAGCTGCAAATAGAGATTATCATTAGCAGAGAGATTTGACTGCACAGGGACCATAATAAATCAATTGCTTGCAGACATATCAAAACCCTATCAATGAGTGGCAAGGGCAAACAAGCTCAGGGCTCCCACCGATTCCGTATTATGGTGAGTTGTATAACTATTTCATTATACATTGCAATGTAACAATAATAGAAATAAAGTGCACAATAAATGTAATGAGCTTGAATCATCCTGAAATCATCCCCCCACCGCCACCCCCACCCCCAGGTCCATGGAACAGTTGTCTTCCACAAAAGGTTGAGGGCCGCTGCCTCAGATGACATGATGTGGGTTTTAGTTTTGTTTTACTTTGTAAATAGTTGTTGTTGTTTATCCAGAGGTTTTGGATTGTGGTTGTTTTTCAGGCTGGTGGAGGAGACCTTCACCATAGATGAAGTCTCTGAAGTCCTGAATGGGTTACAGGCCGTGGTCCACAGCGAGGTGGAGTCTGAGCTCATCAACACGGCCTACACCAATGTGCTACTTCTGCGGCAGCTTTTCTCACAAGCTGAGAAGTGGTACCTCAAGCTACAGACAGACATCTCTGAACTTGAAAACAGGTACTAAAATTTGTATCCACAGTTATGACAATAGAGGCCCAAGCATGAACTTAAAAGTTAGTGAGGGCTTCCCTGGTGGCGCGGTGGTTGAGAGTCCGCCTGCCGATGCAGGGGACATGGGTTCATGCCCCAGTCCGGGAAGATCCCACATGCCGCGGAGCGGCTGGGCCCTTGGGCCATGGCCGCTGAGCCTGCGCGTCCAGAGCCTGTGCTCCGCAACGGGAGAGGCCACAACAGTGAGAGGCCCGCATACCGCAAAAAAAAAAAAAAAAAAAAGTTAGTGAATTTGTTTGCTGCTTTGCTTGGGCCTGGTGTGTGAGAAAATTTTGGTAAGGTAACAGCAGAGCATCCAGTTACTAAGTGATCTCTTAGGTGCCACTCAGCATCCTCTTCAAAATGCCCTGTTTCCACTATTCCTAGGTGTTATAAAGGCCTCTGAGATTTATGAGATTGCTGTTAAGGCTATAAGTAATTATTCCATATGGTATCTCTGGTTAGCCTGATCAGTATTATAATAAGTCTTCAGAGATAGGTCAACTAAGAAAAATGATTATGAAACAGTTGAAAAGTTAATTCAAATACCATCAAATCACACTTAGTAGTATTGGAAGTTTATTTCTAAATAATTGCATTAAAATTATATACTGATCTTTAAAATAGGGAAAGTAAAAAAAAGTTTTATTATCTGAACTACATCAAAAAGCTCATTAATTTTTAAAAAATATGGTAAAATCAATGAAATTGAAACTCAGTCTAAGAAAAGTCATGCCAGAGATCTGGAAAGACTGATATCGAGCCCAGGGGCCGTTTGCTAAGCACAGGTGCAGCGTGGCTTGCGGACAGTGCTTAACAACACTGGCTGTGGCCTCGGGTAGGGAAGGAAACCATTTAGCTTCACCAACTGTCAGTAGATAACTGGTGAGAAAACTTTGAGAAACTGACCTATTAAGAAGCTTAGGAGAGTAGTTACTGCCATTCACTCTGTAAGCTTTTGTATAGTCAGCCCCCAGGTACCTTTGCAAATAGAAGGAAATGTTCAGGTGGATCCCCCAAACCATCTGTCTTCCTTGAGAATTTACCATACTCTTTTCCAGTAGATGTGAACTAATTTTATTTTTCCGAGGCTACTCTATTAAAAATCAGTTTTCCTTGAACCTCTACTAGCTAACAATGTATATTATAGAGCAATTTCCCTTTAGCACCTCAAAAATACAGTGTTGACTACAAATTTCAGACATAGTTGTACTAACATTGTAATTTAGTTCTAGCGATTATATTGTACACTCAGTAGGTACAAAATAGTAGGTGCTATGGAGATTCAAATTTGAGTGCATGGAACTTAGGTGCTCCACCATTAGTAACTAAATATTTTTGATGTGGTGAAGTTGTGTTCATCTTGCTCTGTTGTTTCTGGCGTGTAATAGATTGGTACCAGTGCTTTTATTCTTCTTCTTTTTTTCTTTCTAAATTTTATTTATTTATTTATTTGGCTGTGCCAGGTCTTAGTTGTGGCACGTGGGATCTTTGTTGTGGCGTGCGGGATCTTTTTTTAGTTGCTGCGCGCAGGATCTAGTTCCCTGACCAGGGATCGAACCTGGGCCCCCTGCATTGGGAGCACAGAGTCTTAACTGCTGGGCCACCAGGGAAGTCCTGCTTTTATTCTTCTTGTGTGTATGATACAAATCTGTTCTAAACAAATATTTTTTCATATTTGTTTTTGTCTTAAAGAGAATTATTGGAACAAGTTGCAGAATTTGAAAAAGCAGAATTTACATCTTCAAATAAAAAGGTAATTTTTGGTCCTTATAAGTCCATACCTTAATAGCCAGTGTTTAAAATCCTCAAGTTGCTCAGAGCATTCAGAGATTAAAGTGAGAACTCTCAAGGAAAAGCATTCAACTCAAGAGCAGAATTCCAAGCTTGCCTCTCAGATTTTTGGGAGAAAAAAGATAAGTTTTGGAAGTAACTATGAAAAACTTGTTTTTGTCTACTACCTCACACACGCGTGCGCATGCACACAACATCCCTGCAGTCCACCCGCCTCCCAGCCATGCAAGCTCTTCACTCAGATGATGCGGAGCACATGCGTTGGGGGCATGCATCCTGGCACTGTCACTCCTCAGCTGTGCGACCTTGAGCAGGTTACCTGAGATGGCTGAGCCTCGTTCCCCTCATCTGTCAAGTGGAGACAGTACTAGTAGTTACCTGCCTGTCTCTTTAATCATTCTCATTACCTGTAGTGACCACTTAGCATTCCATTGTGTAGATGCACCATAAATCCTCTGTGGTGTTACATGGTAAAACACTGCCAAGATCAATCCATGAACATACACGTACAAAACAATTTTCTAATTATTCCTTTGGAACATATTTCTAGCTAAGAAATTTCTAGGTCAGAGGGCATGAATTGTTTCGTTTTAATACATATTGCTAAACTGCCAGAATGTTTGTGTCAAGTTACTCATCTGTAATGTAGTGTACCTAAATCCTCATCATTATTGCAATTTTTCTGGGGTTCATGCAGAAATCTCTGTTTTAGCTCCCACAGTTTAAAATCCCAGTCTCTAGATACTAGGATCTTTATTGGCTCTGGCTTTGAGTACCTTCCCTCCCTCCTTTCTCTTCCACCTGTTTTTTTTTTTTTTTTTTTTTTAAGATACAAGGAGGATGGGTTTTGTTTTTATCTCTAATTTGCATTGGGCACTGTGGGCCAGGCACTGTCCTAAGCACTAGGATGTAGCAGAGATCCAAACCAATGAAAATCTAGTTGATATCTCAGTGAATATGTTTATACAGTGTCTTCCACTTAGAAAGTACAAGGGTTCAGTGATTACACATGTTTTATTCAGTGGTGATTTCAGTTTGGTTTCTTTGTTTTGTTTCAGCCCATCATAGATAACATAAAGCCAAAACTTGCTCCACTTAACGAAGGTGGAACAGCAGAACTCCTAAACAAGGTAATGTTGCCATCATTTTGAGAAATGGCAAACTTTCTAAGGATGTATGCTCACTGCCTGCCCAGCTCTAGGGTAGAGAGACTGGGTGGAAGGTGTTGATTCAGGCTTTGGTCCACTGAGGGTAATTAGCCCATCGCAGTAGTTGTACTTAATGGTACCTGGTGGGCCAGAAGAGGGCACACTTAACTCCCGGAGAGGCTGAAGCAGCTCTTGATTGCATCTTTTCATAATGAAGTGAAGAGCATAGGATTTTGGAAAGTGTTTATTGATGGACATTTGAAGTTTATGAGCTGTGATAACAGTGAAGAGATTTTTTAATTAAGAGGTTTATAAAGATTAATTACTGATATACAACTATTTTTCATGACTCTTATGTTCTCAACATTATGCTAGATATTGTTACATAAAAAGAAAAGTAATACCTGGCCTTTTGCCCTCAAAAACCTTGTAGTCTCATTGGGAAGGGATAACTAATATTCTAGGAACAGAGACAGCAGAATGCTAACCTGTGTGCCACAGTTACCACTAACCTGGTGCCACAGGTGCCACAGGGTGGCAGAGAAGACACATTTTCATGTGGATAAGAGTAGTTGAGGACAGGCTCTTGGGTAAGGTGGTGCCTGAGCTGGGCTGAAAGGTGTAGCAGACTGAATTGTCAGAGGGAAGAGAAATGGTATGGCCAGCAGAGGAACAGAGTGGGCAGCAGTCAGAGGCAGAGAGGAGGCTGGCATGCCTTGGAGCAGAGTGCAGGCTCTCCAGCTGGGCTATGCTGCATGTGCTGGGGTATAGTAAGAAGTGAGACTGCACTGACAGGTGATGCTTGTGACGGAGCTGCTGATGAGCAAGGCCCTTGGACCTCACGAGGCTCAGTTGGAACCCCACTAGGGGCTGGGCTCAGGGTATGGAATGATGAAGATTGTGTATTGAGGATAAGCGGCACATGGTGTACAGTGTAGGCTGAGAACAAACCCAAGAGTTGCAGGATCAGCTAGGTGAGAGATGGCAGGGGAGAGGGACTTTGCAAAAAGGCTGAGAGTAGAGGGCTGCAAAAAGCCTGAGCGACTGCGAAAGAAGGAACTAGAAGTTTTAGAGCCAGAGATGACTCATACGTGTTGAGGCTGGTGGGCTGGGTAAAACTGGAATATTACCAGTAACCAGGGCATGCAGACTTTTGAGCTTTTATGTAATTTAAATTTAATATAAAAATTAAATTTTTAAGTGAAACAAAGGATTAAAAATACTTTGGCTAACATAATAAAACTTGAATTTCCTCACAAAGGAAATTTTAAGACTTCAAGAAGAGAATGAAAAATTAAAGTCGAGGCTGAAGACCCTTGAAACACAGGTAACCGAGAAATACTTTAACAAAATTATTGAAAGAGTTACTTACAGACTAAGTACTGAATGTATTTTGTTTAATCTTGATCATAGGCAACAAATGCATTGGATGAGAAGTCAAAACTAGAAAGAGCACTGCAAGATTTACAGCTTGATCAAGGAACTCAGAAGGTGAAATCAGTTTTAGCATTTTCACATTTTCTAGATGATCAAGTTATAAACTTATATTAAGTCTTAGCTACTATCAATATTATGCCCCACAGCCAGCCACTCCCTGAGAGGGAGGCCACCACTGTAGTTCTGCATCGAGACAAACTTGTCCAGGAAAGGCCAGGTGAGAGCCTGTTGAGGGCAGTGGGGGCAGATACACCGCTCATGTACTTCACATATCCCAGAGCCCATTGGCATATGAGATATGCTTAAATTTATTTTTTAAAAGTTCTTCTCCCTTTTACTTTGCCTTTCCAATTTCAACGGGAAGAAAGGAAGAGTTTTTAGTTATTATTATACAGAACTTATTATTACTTAAGTTTCCCTTCGGTGAGTGTGACAAAACAGAATGAATTTACTAGTCGTGCATCTTCTAATCCACCTATATCTAGCTGTGCTTCTGTAATACAGTGAAATCCAGTGAAGTTCTCCAAGCTTGTCTGAATGGAATGACTGAGTATCACTCTGCCCTGGAAGTCATCGTGCGCTCAGTTCTGCCTCCTTTGGCCTTTCCATTGAGATTAGATGCTGTAATAGGATCCTGTCAGCAGGACCATTGGAGTGAATTTTCATTGCAGCACTGGCTTTTCTAGTGGTTGTAGTGCCATTGTAAATGTCTACTAAACAATCCCCAAACTTACTTCATTAGACTTTGGTTATACTTTTTCTATGGAAAATTTCAAACATATACAAGAGTAGAGAGAATAGTGTAATGCACCCCAGGTACTCATCGCTCTGCTTTACCAGTCAGTCATCAAGACGTGGCCAGTCTGGTTTCATATTTACCTCTACTTTCTTCTCCCTTTCCCCATGTTTTTTGGGTTTTTTTAAATTAATTAATTTTTTGGCTGCGTTGGGTCTTCATTGCTGTGCACAGGCTTTCTCTAGTTGCAGCAAGCGTGGGCTTCTCATTGTGGTGGCTTCTCGTTGCGGAGCATGGGCTCTAGGCGCGCAGGCTTCAGTAGCTGTGGCACGCAGCCTCAGTAGTTGTGGCTCGTGGGCTCAGTAGTTGTGGCTTGTGGGCTCCAGAGCGCAGGCTCAGTAGTTGTGGTGCACGAGCTTAGTTGTTCCGCAGCATGTGGGATCTTCCCGGACCAGGGCTTGAACCTGTGTCCCCGGCATTGGCAGGCAGATTCTTAACCACTGCGCCACTGGGGAAGTTCCCCACCGTGTTTTTCTGAAGCCAGTCTCAGACATTACATTATTTTATCTGTAGGTTTTTTGTTTTGTTTTGTTTTGTTTTTTGCGGTATGCGGGCCTCTCACTGTTGGGGCCCCTCCCATTGCGGAGCACAGGCTCCAGACGCGCAGGCTCAGCAGCCATGGCTCACGGGCCTAGCCGCTTCGCGGCATGTGGGATCTTCCCGGACCAGGGCACAAACCCGTGTCCCCTGCATTGGCAGGCGGACTCTCAACCACTGCGCCACCAGGGAAGCCCAGTCTGTAGGTATTTTTTAAGTAAAAGGATGCGTCTTATATGGCTAAAACAAAAGGAAATATATATGATTTTCAATCATTATATACCAAAGACCATAAATTTCAATCATTATATACCAAGGACCATAAAACAGCTAAATACTCCAGAACAGCTTTAGTTTCTCAAAAGTAAACCAGTTGCCAACATTTTCGGATGATGAATTTGTTTTAAAAGCCATTGAAGGTTTTCGGCATTGGCAGGCAGATTCTTAACCACTGCGCCACTGGGGAAGTTCCCCACCGTGTTTTTCTGAAGCCAGTCTCAGACATTACATTATTTTATCTGTAGGTTTTTTGTTTTGTTTTGTTTTGTTTTTTGCGGTATGCGGGCCTCTCACTGTTGGGGCCCCTCCCATTGCGGAGCACAGGCTCCAGACGCGCAGGCTCAGCAGCCATGGCTCACGGGCCTAGCCGCTTCGCGGCATGTGGGATCTTCCCGGACCAGGGCACAAACCCGTGTCCCCTGCATTGGCAGGCGGACTCTCAACCACTGCGCCACCAGGGAAGCCCAGTCTGTAGGTATTTTTTAAGTAAAAGGATGCGTCTTATATGGCTAAAACAAAAGGAAATATATATGATTTTCAATCATTATATACCAAAGACCATAAATTTCAATCATTATATACCAAGGACCATAAAACAGCTAAATACTCCAGAACAGCTTTAGTTTCTCAAAAGTAAACCAGTTGCCAACATTTTCGGATGATGAATTTGTTTTAAAAGCCATTGAAGGTTTTGCTCCAATTTTGCTTTTAAGATTTGGCAAAAGCAAAATGCATACAGGCCTTCACTAGATGCAGTGAAATAAAATCTTTTTAAAAACCAGATTTCAAAAATAAGTAAGGAATTCTTCTTTTGTTGATAATAGTGCTTCGTCTTCATAGTTAGCAATTATAGACCATTTTCCTGTCATTAATATAACTTTTGTCTTTTATAAATTTTATCTAGTTAAAAACATGATCCAGGTAGAGAGAAGATCCAGCTGCTTATATTACACTGACGAAGTGTACAAATATGTGCATATCGAATTAATGCAAAAAACTTAAAATCTTGTAAATTTAGCAAGCCATATATAATCAGTAAGCATTAATTAGGCTCTCACAATATTGTAAAACATGTCTGTTACATTTTTTGTATAAATTGTATTAATTTGATTATTTTTCCATCTGTATCATTAAAAATTCTTCACCAGGATTTTTTTACCTTGACTTTTCAAAAATGAAGCCTATTTGCCACCCCAACTCTGGGAAACACAATCTTGTCAAATTTAGGATCCCACCTCTCTTGTTCCTCTTTTGGAATTCCAGCAGTTCATAAATCATATTTTACATACTTGGAAATCAGTGACCACTGAGTGTCTGCTGTGCTCAGGACACAGTGCACTGGGTGCTGAGGGTGAACTGGGTGTGCTGGTGACCCTGACTGGGCTGCAGTGGCAGAGAAGGCTGGTGGGGGATGCTGACATGCACACGCAACACACATTGTCCTCTGTTTCCATCACCTGTGATGCTGAATCTAAAGCAGTTACTATTTAGGATGTCAGCATGAAATCATGTGAGTGTATGTATTTTTCATAGGATTTTATAAAGGCCCAAGACTTGAGTGACTTGGAAAACACAGTTGCTGCTTTAAAGAGTGAGTTTCAGAAGACACTTAATGACCAGACAGAAAACCAGAAGTCCCTGGAGGAGAATCTAGCGACGGCCAAGCATGACCTACTCAGGGTGCAGGAGCAGCTGAGCATGGCTGAAAAGGTCAGATTTGTCTGTTTATATCCGATTAAGTGATGAATGCAGTGTAACTAAGGGAAACGTTGGACAACTACAGATTCACTTCATTTTTTGTCAAGGTATTAGGCAATTTGTGTTCTAAAGATTTATCATTTGGAGACACTGAGATTCTTCCATCTTTGGCACTAAAATATCTGTGATAATAAAAACCTGCACTCCTTCTGTTCTATGGTAAATACTCCACTGAGGGTGGCATACAGCCGGCCCCCTGAGCACCCATTTTGCTCTTCCTGATCAGCCCTCTTGCAGTCTGGCAGAGGGATGAGTGGCTTTTTTCTCAAGGGTTCTAATACCTTTTTCTTAATTTATATGAGATATGTGGAGAACTGGCTTTTTTGCCTTAGGGGTTAGACTCTTAAGAATATGGGAGCTAAAATGTAATTAAATTTAAAATCCTCCTGTTCAAATTTGGGATTTGGAAAAAAGAGCATGCTTATTTTACCTGAAAATGAATTTACTTTTTCAAATAGATTTCCCATGTCTATGGCATAGTATGTTTGAGTTATTTGCTAATATTGTACTTGGGAAATGTTACTATTTTATTAGCTTCCCATTTGAAAGAATGTATTTTTAAAGCTTGAATAGTCTTAATTTTATATAAGCATATATTTTTTTAAATTAAAAAATAGGGCTTCCCTGGTGGCGCAGTGGTTGAGAGTCCGCCTGCCGATGCAGGGGACATGGGTTTGTGCCCCGGTCCGGGAAGATCCCACATGCCGCAGAGCGGCTGGGCCGGTGAGCCATGGCCGCTGAGCCTACGCGTCCGGAGCCTGTGCTCCTCAGCGGGAGAGGCCACAACAGTGAGAGGCCCGCGTACCGCAAAAATAAATAAATAAATAAATAAAATTAGAAAATAAAAAAAGCACAATATTAGTAAAATTAGGGCAAAATATATATTTTCATCAGATATGTTATTTCTTTCCTTAACTATTTCTTATTAATGGGCTGACATTTTTCACTATGCAGGAATTAGAGAAAAAATTCCAACAAACAGCAGCTTATCGAAACATGAAAGAGATTCTCACCAAGAAGAATGACCAAATCAAAGACCTGAGGAAAAGACTGGCGAAGTAAGATATACTGATCCTGTCTCTCGGATTGTCTCCCTGCTGGGTTGATGTCTGTCCTTCATTAAGTCTAACCTTGTGTCTGGAGAGGTCAGGCCGGTGGGGAGTTGCTCTGTCATTCAGTCCAGAAGGCTGTGTCTGAGGAAGGCAGAGGGGCTTTGGCCAGGCCTCATCTGTAACACCCACCAGGGTTTCTTTTCAGGTTCAGCCGAACCTTTAGCCTCACACAGGGCTACACTAGGCTACTCTGGCCGTGGATTCTCTTAGCAGGATATTGGACAGAAACCACAGCAAGCACACAGGGCAGCATTGGGCATTTCTCCTCAGTGGTGTCCTTGCTGCAGCCCACAACCTGATCACACTGTGCTCTCACATGACAATTTAGGTGCTAGAAAATGAGGTCCATGCGTGGATGCCAGAGCCAGCGTGGCTTAGAAGTTCCATGCCCTACATAGGACCAGTGTCTTTGGTCCAGCCACGTGGTGCCCAGGCAGGGACATGTCCGGGAGGGAGGGACTCAACTGTAGGGAAGCCGAAGCCGTGGTTTCCACCATGGATGTATAGTTGTTCACAGTTCTCCTGGTCCAGATGGAGTCTTCTAATCGGGGTCATTTCTGTCATCAGTGGCTCTGCCTGGAAACTCAGCTGACATTTTACCTTTATCAGGGTTCCAGGGTACCAGAGCTAGAAAGTGAATTCCAGATCATATTTTTCCTTAGAGAAGAGGGTCTGTTAACCCTGTACTCACAAAGCCATGTCAGCTGTTTGTGTCCATCAGGCCATCGATTAGATAATTACCATAATTACCGCCGAATCCCTAATCTACTAAGCTATCACAGATCTAGATGCCACATGTACAAACTTGGAACCTGAAGGTATCTCAGCAGTTATCTGGTCCATTCTCCACCTGTGGCAGGAATCCCCTGAGTCACCCTCGTCATGCCTTGAATGTATCTGACTTCTACCGTAGCAGTGATTTTAAGTGAAAAATGCAACATTACTGGTTTAGCCACTGGAGGTGTTTCAAGTAAACTTATTTGGTAACAACAACAACAGCATTATGCTGTTAATTGAATATATATCTCTTTCCAGATATGAACCTGAAGATTAAAAACTGAAGAAGATTTCATCTGGAAGCTGCCACTATATGAAAGTACAAGCCGTTTCTCACCTCAGGCATGTATTTGAAGCAGTTTGTTGTATCCCCTCTCTTTATTTTTCTAATATTTAGACTTTGCTTCTGATATTTAGAACTAGAGTTCCTATTTCAGTTACCTAATTGAGGAGAAAACCTACTGACTGATTCTGGCCTGTCATCCCGAACTCCTCTCTGCTGAGTGTTCCAGAATCTTAGTTCAAATGCAGTGAGAATTCTTTATAGTAAAGAAGAGGCTTATCCTTTTGCATTAGTGTAAAGAGCACGCCTTTTCAATAAATGTTAAAGCTAGCATTGTCTGTACTTGTGCATTCCCCAGAGTAAAAATATAGAATTATTAAAGATAGTTATTACAAATAAACCTTATTTTTTAACATGAAATCTGATTTGTTTTCTATATGTGATCATCAAAAAAATATGAATTTATTGAAAATGTGAATACCATCTATTACAGGCATCATTTTTACCAATTATAATGAAAATTAACAGTGAACATGAGGTTTCGGCTAACTCCTTTGGTCTCTCTAGCTAAATGCTGAGGAGGGTCAGACTTTTTTTGCAGCATAACTTATGAGTCCGTATTACTAATGGAGAAGGCAGAGCCATCCTGTACTTATACAGTTGAGAAAGTATCTGGATTCAGAATAAATGTAATCTTTATACTTCAGTTTCCAGAATATTCTTTTAAGTTATGTTAAATGAGAACACTTTTTTTTTTTAAATAAATTTATTTATTTTTATGGCTGCATTGGGTTTTTGTTGCGGTGAGTGGGCTTCTCATTGCGGTGGCTTCTCTTGTTGTGGAGCACGGGCTCTAGGCACGCGGGCTTCAGTAGTTGTGGCTCACGGGCTCTAGAGCACAGGCTCAGTAGTTGTGGCGCACGGGCTTAGTTGCTCCATGGCATGTGGGATTTTCCCGGACCAGGGATCGAACCCATGTTCGATCCTGCAGTGGTTAAGAATCCTCCTGCATTGGCAGGATTCTTAACCACTGTGCCACCAGGGAAGCCCCAAGAACAGTTTTTAAAAGACCTCTATTTAACATAAAATCAGTTACCAGACCTCATTTTCAACTTTTGATTATAGTTTATTTATTTATGTGCATCTACAGTAACTGCATTTTCAAGAGGTTTTGTTTACATTTCCATTAGTCCTGCTTTTTCTTGTATGATTTTGGATAAATCATTAGAAGTTAGGTATCATATCTGCACTTGTGTAATGCAACAGTATACTCTAAGGATAAACAAAATAAAGTCCATAAAGCAATAATGCCTCAGAAGGAAAGTACTTACTTTTAACACATTATTTAGAAAGTAATTATTCCCACTTCCAAAAGCAGAGTGTCACACCCTAAATGAATGCCGTCTGCTAAGAAAGGTCATCCCACGTCCACAAATGAAGATTTTATTTACCAAGAAGAGTTTACTGATCCAAGGATAAGGCTTCTTGATATCTTTATTCAAGCTCTTAATACTAGCCTTGAATTTGTTGTTTTTCTTGTAGGTTTTATATTAAAGTACTGAAGGAACAAATGATGAAGGGTAAGATAATTTCCCCCCAAAAGGACACAGAAGGCAGTCTTAAAAAGGTGAATGAATGAGAGAAGGGAGGGGGAAAGATCCACTAACAAGCCAGCACTTACGGATAGTTGTTTCTCACCCATCCCTCACTATTCAGGTCACTCATTGGGTTCTGTGTCCTTTTAGAGCTTTCACTGAGGGTTCCAGTCTCACCCCATATTTCTTTAGGCAAAAATTGATTCTCTCTCTGAAAACTATTCCATTTTTTATAGACCAGAATATTCTGTGTAATTCAGAAACAGACCTCTTTAAATCGCTTGTGTATCTTTCAAAAACCATTTATTTTCTCTCTACATGTTTCTTAGTTTGATGTCCATAGGGAAGGAAGTTACGTTGAGAAACCTATGTTGCTAGGTAGAATTTCAACTTGGTTTTCTTTTTTTTTCGGTAGCAACTTTTAAATATTCTATATATGCAGTTCAGTAATTCAAAAGTATTTATGGAACCTTAAAACCTAACTAGGCCCTGCATTAAGATAAACAAGCATGATATTCTTTGACATAAATTAACATGATGATTCTAACACATATAAATACTTTCTGTGCCTGTTTTTGTCACTGTGTGTGTGTGTGTGTGTGTGTGTGTGTGTGTTAACTCATGTGCCTAGCAAAATGCAATGTTAAATTTTTATTTATTGAATGTTTCCTAGTCTTAAGATTTATCTCATTTAACCAAGAAAGAAAGCCCTTTTAGTTGCTGTATTTTGGGTGTGTAAGAAAGTTGCCTCAAGCCCTGACTGAACTTTCAGTGTGCTAAGCTGTATAGAGTGTGCACTGGGCTGTTATAATGCAGCTTTAGTTTAGCTTAAATATTCAAGGCTCCTGCTAAATTATGACTCAGACCCTTTATTGACAAAAGTAAACTGTAAAGGGTTTTTGTTATTAATTTCTTCTGTTCAATATTTAAGTATTTATTTTTTCTCATTATGTATTACATTTGAGTCATATTAATGTTTAATGATCATTTGTTTATATCTTATATAACTCATATGGAAAATATTGCTCTACATTGAATTTGTTATCCTATTTTATAAAACCTTTGCTATTTGTTATTTCCATTCTGATGAGTTGAAAAGGGTTAATAGAGATGTTTACATCTTTATTTTTTTATTGAAGTATAGTTGATTTACAATGTTATGCTAATTTCTGCTGTAGAGCAAAGTGGCTCAGCCACACACATACACACATTCTTTTTTATATTCTTTTCCATTATGGTTTATCTCAGGAGACTGGGTGTAGTTCCCTGTGCTATACAGTAGGACCTTGTCGTTTATCCATTCTAAATGTAATAGTTTGCATCTACTCACCCCAAACTTTAGTCCATCCTTTCCCTCCCCCACTCCCCCTTGGAAATCACAAGTCTGCTCTCTATGTCTGCAAGTCTGTTTATAGGTAGGTTCATTTGTGCCATACTTTAGATTCCACATATATGTGATATCATATGGTGTTTGTCTTTCTCTGTTTGACTTACTTCACTTAGTATGATAATCTCTATTTGCATCCATGTTACTGCAAATGGCATTATTTCGTTCTTTTCTATGGCTGAGTAGTATTCCATTGTATATGTGTACCACATATTCTTTATCTGTTTCTCTGTCGATGGACATTTAGGTTGTTTCCATGTCTTGGCTATTGTGAATAGTGCTGCTATGAGCATAGGAATGCATGTATCTCTTTGAATTATAGTTTTGTCTGGGTATATACCCAGGAGTGGGATTGCTGGATCATATGGTAATTCTATTTTTAGCTTTCTGAGGAACCTCCACACCATTTTCCATAGTGGCTGCACCAACTTACATTCCCACCAACAGTGTAGGAGGGTTCCCTTTTCCCCACACCCTCTCCAGCATTTGTTATTTTTAGACTTTTTAATGATGGCCATTCTGACCGGTGTGACGTGGTACCTCATTGTAGTTTTGATTTGCATTTCTCTAAGAAATAGTGATGTTGAGCATCTTTACATGTGCCTACTGGCCATCTATATGTCTTCTTTAGAGAAATGTCTATTTAGGTCTTCTGCCTATTTTTGGATTGGGTTTTTTGTTTGTTTGATTTGTTGAGTTGTATGAATGGTTTATACATTTTGGAGATTAAACCCTTGTCGGTCGCATCATTTGCAAATATTTTCTCCCATTCTGTCAGTTGTCTTTTCGTTTGTTTTTATGGTTTCCTTTGCTATGCAAAAGCTTGTAAGTTTGATTAGGTCCCATTTGCTTATTTTTGTTTTTATTTCTATTGCCTTGGGAGACTGACCTAAGAAAACATACAGTTTATGTCAGAGAATGTTTTGCCGATGCTCTCTTCTAGGAGTTTTATGGTGTCATGTCTTTTGTTTAAGTCATTAAGCCATTTTGAGTTTATTTTTGTGCGTGGTGTGAGGGTATGTTCTAAGTACATTGATTTACATGCAGCTGTCCAACTTTCCCAGCACCACTTGCTGAAGGGATTTTTCCCATTTTATATTCTTGCCTCCTTTGTCAAAGACTAATTGACCATAGGTGTGTGGGTGTAATTCTGTGCTCTCTTTTCTGTTCCATTGATCTATATGTGTTTTTACCAGTACCACACTGCTTTGATTACTGTAGCTTTGTAGTATTGTCTGAAGTCCAGGAGAGTTATGTCCCCTGCATTTGTTTTTTCTTCCTCAGGATTGCTTTGGCAGTTCTGGGTCTTTTATGGTTCCACGTAAATTTTTGGATTATTTGTTCTAGTTCTATGAAAAATGTCATGGATAATTTGTTAGGGATCACATTAAATCTGTAGATTGCTTTGGGTAGTATTGCCATTTTAACAGTATTAATTCTTCCAGTCCAAGAGCATGGGATATCTTTCCATTTCTTTGAATCCTCTTTAATTTCCTTTATTAATGTTTTATAATGTTATAATGTTTTCGTAAGTCTTTCACCTCCTTGGTCAGGTTTACTCCTAGGTATTCTTTTTTGATGCAATTTTAAAAAGTACTGTTTTCTAACATTTCCTTTCCGATATTTCATTGTTAGTGTAAAGAAATGCAACCGATTTCTGAAGAGATGTTTACATCTTTAAATGCTTGGTGCTTTTAGATATATTGGATTGCCAAAAAAATTGGCTTTAATGATTTCCCTTTGCTTACGTGTAAATACTTAACACATAAAGCTTTGGCATTATAAATTCAAGACATGATTTCTCTCATGTAAGCAAGTCTTTCAGAAATAAAAACCATCTCAGCAAAATAATTAGTACTTAGATGAAATAATAGTATTTAGGCAATATTTAAAGAAAATGATTTTCAACACCACATAGAAAAAAAGTTTCAGTATTTTACAGATAAAAATCCACCAATGTTAAACAAAACCAAATTAGACTTTGAAAATTATTTATAATTTTTAAAAAGTAGGAATATGCCTACTATCAAATTATAACTTATTAAATGGATTTTCATGAGTACTTAGAAAAGAAACTTATAATCACCAGGAGCCAGCATGGGTTTCCCTAGCAAGAAATCATAGCAGACTAAACTCATTTGTCTTTTAGGAGAGAGAGATGTGGTGTATGAGAATTTCGGCAAGGTAGTTGTCAAAGACCTCATGATAATACTGTTGAAAACGGTCTTACTGGGGTTCTCCCAAATGCAAACTTTGAGATAAGGATTTGGGTGTAGGTAGTTTATTTGGGAAGTGATTCCAGGAAGTCCTGTGGGAGACTGAAGACTTGAGACAAATTGAAAGAGTCACCACTAATACAACTGGGGCTCAGTCCTGCTGGGGACCCCCTGAGACACAGGCAAACATCTCCACATTCTTCCACTACCTG